CGGATGTGAGAAACTAAACGAAATGCTTGATGCAGTATCAATGGGCAAAACGCATTGAATAAGTGAGAAGGCACGGAGTGAAGATATTACATTGAGAAAGGCCTAATAGGAAGCACATTGGTGCAGCCAAGCTCAGGTGTACTTTAGTATAAAGCCATCCATATTCTGAGTTGAGTGTTTTCGGCCTTTCATCCCACAGCTCCCCACTGCCACCAAGGATGGAGTTGTGCTGGGGCGTGTAGACACTCTCCAACCTATACAAGCGCCACTGCTGTCCACAAAAATCCTACAGCAGTCAGCAGTAAAGTTTGACAGTAGTGCCATCAAAAAAGCATTTGACGGATCCGCATATTCAGACACGTTAAAAAGAGAAAGATTTGGTGGGACCCGCTGTTAAGCTATCGGATTTTAGCCAGCAAAGAAGAGCAGCACGTCAAAGGTGGTTTAAAGAGGTTTGCCTCGAATAATTTTTCACCCTACATTGTTTGTTCGTCTTTAAAAGAAAATTAACGGCTCACGACGATACATTTAACGCATCGGCAGAATAAATCGAAAATCATGAAGTATAGCGCACTAATAAAGGGAAAGAGAATTAAAGTGATGCAATGTTGAATCCAAAATATCCCACGAAATTACCTTAAGAGAAGGACCGAAATGTTAATGATACTGTCACTTTTCAAAAATATTTAATAGAAAACAAATATGATTTACTAACGCCGTGATTATTATAAGTCAGCTCGTAGTACCTTGTAAAGTACCACTTGCGAATTCATGTAAGAAATGTAGTACTACTTAAAAAAGGGTTGTTTCATGGTCATCATGCAACTATGATTGACAAAATGAGTTGGGTTATCGATGATTCCTAAATCAAACTTGAAAATGGCCGATCTCAAAAAGGCTTTATAACCCATTTTGAAGATACAGCAATGAGCTTTGGCGGGAACTCATAACATTCAAAAAGTAGTAATTATTTTAAGTAGACGAAAAGCATTTAAATGAATTAAAGTAAATTCTAAAACACGTTATAGTACACCATGCTGTTGCGTTCATTTTAAAAATTCCCGTTATTACAAACCACTGCCAAGTCAAAAGACAATGAAAGGAAAAAAACAAAGATAATGCCATGATAATAGGAGGCAAGGTTTGCCAAAAAACTATTTATTTGTGTTTTGAAGCCAGGAATGGCTTAGTTCCAGTTTAGAATATAAAATAGAGCAGTGAAAACTGTTAATTCGGGTGGAGTCACGTAGGAATTATGAGGAGACAAAGAAATAGAGCTCCTGCTCTCTTGTACACCAAGCCTTTATTACCAATTTATTCAATGACTTACAAATGGTAGCTCATTTTTAACCGAATTAAATGTAAAACAACAGTACATCTTTGAAAGTACTGCATTTCTACTATGATGGGATTCTATAAAAATCCCACAAATTATTTGAGAATGATCTAAATGGCTCTACACAAGACAAAAGTTCTAACTTTTCAGTCATCATCAAAATTTTGTAGTTTGCCATACTAATCATTTACTTAAGTCAGGTATACAGTCAGAAGAATCTCCGGTTTGATGCCACTGTCTTTATCATTGCACTCGTGGTACAGCTATTATTATACCTAGGTGGTACGAAAGCATAAAAGGAGGCGAGGTAAAACAATGTGAACGTTAGCGTAGGATGGAACGAGGTAGGGAAACTGATGAAATCGAATCACAAAAGGCAGAGATGGTCCTCATCTTCTCTTCCTTCCACTTTTTCATTCCTCTTACCTCATAGGTGCGGAGTGCTTTCTCATATCTTGCTTATGTGTCCAATGACAGCTTCACCAAAAAGCAATTAATTGGGTCTGGTAAAACAAAGTTTTTAGCATTGTTATGTGCAGAAGATCTCTGTTCTTTTAATCAAGTGCATTCTGATTCACAGAATAACTTAGCATTGTATTCCAAACGAAACAAACGCAAGAAAAAAGTTTTTAATGATCTAGACTGTTCTGAAAAACCTACATCAATTAACATGATAAAACCCTTAATTTTATCTTGACCCACTTGGTTCATTATTAGATCTTGGCAGTTAAATTATCTCTTGAAGCGTTTGGAACTAAGATGGCGGTCATACAAACTTAGTGCGAGAAGTATTAGGGTAGTGCAAATATTTGGTCCCTAATACTATCTTATGCAGGAGTGTAGGTGAGCTCAAGCCACAAAACTAAACATGTACGTTTATATATGTATATACACATGTAAATGCTGAAGCCCCGAATGAGCGCATATGCGGTGAATGAATAAAGGAAGATGGTGCCTGAAAGATTAGTCGGTCTAACGAGTTATGTATTCCAAACACTCGGAGGGACGTAAGAGTGATTCGGTGTTCTAATAAGAATCAGTTAGACCATTTCCATAAAGCCACTGGTCCTGCTGAATTTGCATCATCCGTCCCACAATCCACTGGCATGATCCGTTATATCTATCTGCCTGTCAATATGTCTTTTTAATTACTAAATTGCCAAAATGTGGAATCCCGCTCGCCATTAGCACTAATATCTTTAAGAAATTTTTCAGCTAAAAAATTTGAGCAACCTCTGAGAGTGAGCAAAACCTGTTGCAGTTATAAAAGGCACACGAGATCGATTACGTGGCTCCTCCGTATTGGTCCAATTGATAATGTTCAAAAGTCTCTGTGTCATGTCTCCCTCTCATAATCAATCACGGCATTTTTTTATCACAAAATTAACAAGCCGATGGAGCTACTAGGCATTAAAGTAACGGTTCCTCAACTTTTATCCACCTTTCTTGAACAATGAATAATAAGAAGTAACTTTGGTTTCCATGAAGCATGGGTCCATAGCAGCTAGGGTAGAATAAACAGTCTTTTGTAAACAGATCTTGTATAATAGATGGAAATAAACAATACGATTTTTGACTGTGATCATTAAGGATGAATAAATGGAAAACCTAATAACATCTGCCTTGGTGTTTGGAACCGCTGAGAACTTGCCCTTTCACTTCTTAAGTAAAGTGTGGCAAAGCAAACAACGATTTCTTTAAATTGTCAATCCTCCATTGTTTCCTTATCAGGTGTCGGAGTTTCAAAATGACATAACTTTGGAACAACTAGGGAAACTGGGGAATTTTAACCCAATATTTAAGGTGACTTTCATTAGAGTTCTTCTCTACTTATCAGTGGTAAAATCTAGAAAAGAGGAAAGAGCCCCATTGTTGCCACTGTTGCTGATATCTGTCCAAGTTTGTGCAGAAGCTAAGAGTTTTCTAGAGGGGAAAAACCAAACCCAACCAAGCTAAACTACAATGAACTTTTATTCAACCGTCTTTCAAAGTTATCAAACCTCCTAGACTGTTGTCTTTGATTAAAAATAAGAACAGTTTGTAGGATGCAAATAAAGTGAATGACAATGCCCCTTCTTGAGTTTTTTGTTTGCTATCTTAATCAACCACTGTTTGGAAAAATTCACTTTTGATTATTCAACAGCAAGTCTGATTTAAGACTAATAATTCCCGTTTTAAAACAGCCGATGTCTCAAATAAGGAAATAAAATACAGTGAAAGAGGGTGGGAGAGAAAAAGAAAGACACGTTATCACACAGGTATTTAGGGTTAATTTGAGATGTACCAAACCAAGACGGTAAAATCTCCATTTGGTGAAGATGGAGTAATCGTTGAGATTTCCTTGACCACAGATAGAAATAATAGTGTATATCTAACTAAAATATGCTTTAAGATGGATAATTTTCGGATTAAATAAAGGAGAAAATGGTTTACCAAGGTGCTATGCAAAATTGGTACTTTACGACTTTATTTATTCTCAGGGCACAATTTCTCACTGTAGCAAACAATAAGAAAATAGTGGTTGCTACTACCTATATGAACGTAACAGAGATGGCTGGCTCACTAACTAGTAGTGAAAGTAACTTCGCCATAGGAAGTTCAGAAGAATCGTATATTTTCTACTTGCTTGTAACTGTTGATAAAAGGACTTGCTTTAGTATGATGAACTCATTATATATTAAAGCACCAAATAAACAGCTAAATGCTAACTACTTGGGTAAGACACAGAAACGATGTATATTTGGACATTTGATTTACTGATCTGCACATGTTTAAAGCAAAATTTGATACGCGCATGTAAATTTCACATTAAGCTTCTTACGGATTTGTTGTTCTCATTGAAATGGAATCAAGGTCTATTGTGTTGGGGAGAAAATCTGTTTGGAGATACAAAATATTGGCCTTTGCTTCCATGTACACTTAACTTCTATTGTAGAACATATTTGTAATGCATTAATTGATTGTTCAACTCTCGGTTTGGTAACAGATCAACGGAGGGCTCCGCCATTGTACATCTGCCAAGTGGACTGGTTCTTGAGCCAAGCCGGTGGCCTTAAGCCCCACTGTATGTCGACAAAACATATTCTACCCAAGTATTGTGTCCTCCTTCTCCTCCAAGGAAGTTTCCAAGCGTGACATTCTTTACCATTCTGTCAGTGGGAGCCACTACTTTTCATTTCATACTAGCGTTTCTATGAAAAATTTAATACAGTTTTTTAATAATTGTTGCCACGCTAATAACGTGGTTCAGTGTAAATTCGCTAAGCTTTATTCGATAAATAAATAAATAAAATTGTGTTTTTAGCAAATGGTACTGCTTTATTTTACACCATAAGAGGTTAAAATAAACTATTGCTTAATAATGCAACTTCGGGGCCCTAACCACAATAACCAACCGGGTGACTCAAAAAAAAATTGCTTTTGGAACATGGTCATATTGTCATTCCACGAAGCAGCAACTAATATTAAACCTAGAGTGACTGGTATCCATTTTACCCCATGGCGTCTACTTAAGTGCCTGTGGCGTCGGAGTATCCATTAATTCGAGGGTGGTAGGCTGTATTATCGTGAGACAATCAGAAACGCTATTGGTCGGAGTAATGTCCATTCCACCGCTCAGAGCAGTACCATTAAATGTCAGCAAATTTCAAAATCAACCAAAAGGATGAGTCGAACGCCGGATCCTTATATGAGGTACTCATTTCCACCAATTCCTTTGACAAATGAATGAATTTAAATATGTTGTGGAACTTACCCAATGAAGGCATATACAAGAATGTACTCTGGTCAAAAAGAATGCCTTATTTCCCCAAAGGTTGAGCTATTGTTAAGTGGCTTCTCAGTAACTTTGCGTCAGATTTCTATCAAAAGTATTTTATCCTAACTGTTTGATTGGCTATCAACATGGCGTACTATGATACTATATCCCTTTGCTCCATCGTAGGAGACTCTCAAAACCCCTTATCACTGTAACTGACGTAGTTCTGCCTCTGAGCCAAGAAACCTCAGAAAACTTTGCTTCGGAATACAATCTTTACGACCAATGTCCACTGGACCTCTATTCAACAAAGGAAAGTTTACAAGATTCTGATTCTACACCGACCCATTCGCACATAGAGAGTCCGTGGGCTCAGCCAAACGCGCTAAGGAGCCTTCTCGAATGGAAATCACGTATTGAAGGAGATGACTTGGATACTGTGAGTGGGAATAACTCCGCATCTGAAATTTCCGCTTCCTGCTTCAGCACAATAAAGGATCACAATCAATTCGCCAGATCGGAATTGATTTCAGCAATTATGGTGAGCAATTTTGATCCATCTAAAAGTACGTCTACATATAAATAATATGTAAGTGAATTTTTGCCGTATCTTTGGGAAAACTCCTTTACCGATACATGTATCGACATAATCAGGATTGATATTTATGGGGTTGTTGCTCTTCCATTGTCACTTTGCATCTGATCAGGTTTGAATAGCAAATATTTTGGCACAAAGGAGGCCTTTTACTATGCTTGTGTTAGATGACTATACAATAAACCAAGAACCCCTTAGTGTGTGAACCGGAATCGGGCTGGAGAACTCTTTGACCTGCTGGTGGAGCATCCCGATTTGGTCGAAACGCGAGATAATAAAGGAAATTATCTCATTCACTACGCAGTCACTCGAGGCTTCCTCAATATTATCGACTTACTGGTTTCTCGAGGCGCAGGTACTTGTTCGGACTTTTGTTGTTTAACAGCCCTTTACAAGATGTTATTGTTCCTTCGTTAGGCTAATGGACATGTTAATATTCTGGCTCGAGCTCAAAGGCCACATTTTATGCTGATTTGCAAAAATGACTCTGAAAGACACTTAATAGGAAAATTAGCTTTAACTTGTGTGCAGGAAGAATCTCGAATCCCGAGCATCTTTTAAAGTGAAAGGATGCTCTTCTAACGAAACAAGTACAACAAGCATTTATCTTCAACTCTATATTGAAAAGCAACTTAGTAAGCATAATAATGTTAGGATTCTAAAACTTCTATCACAGTGATTTAACAGAAATATATGTCGCTCAATGCTGCTGTCATTTAGTTTTTAATAGTACCAACGAGATTAATAATGAAATACAGAACTATTTTCATTTGTTTGGTAATGGTCTAGTCTTGTAAACTCAAATCTTCTGGGATGTTAAAACCAATTTACATATTAAAAACTAGCCCTTGATGTTCGGTGAAGTAATGCATTCTCACCACCGTATGTGTGTGGCCTCGGCACACTTTGGCCTGTTTTAAACGTACATAACAAGTTCCCTCGGCTCTTGCTTGTTTTTTATACCAGAGCAGGGTCCAAAATGCACAAATGCTCGACTGAACACACTCATGAAAGA